CTGACGTCGTCCGCGCCCCGCGCACCGCGCGTCACATCACCAAATCCGCGTCTAAACAAACCTCTGTCAGGCGATACAAACAACCAAAGCCAAAGGCGTCGACACGTATTGTTCGATATATATATTGTCATTATCATCAGTTTAGTATTTTAAATATATTATTCATTATTATTTTCTTAACACACTGTTTCTCAATTATTCCGCCTATCACGAACCCGATCCGACAAGCGATTCAAACCCGCAACGAATCGCGGTTACAATTATCACGGTCGAAACGGATATATATATATATATATATATATATATATATATATATATATCCGTTACGACCGTGATAATTAGAAATATTGCACATTTCATTGGATAAAATAGGCATATAATTATATCGGCAAGCCCTGCATTATCGGTCCTGCATTATCGTCCACGCGCGCCTTACGGGCAAGCAACCCATCGTACTGATCTGTATGTTGACGCAACACCCTGTATGGCCATTTTGGTTCACTGGGGCGAAAATGCATGGGAGCAGTTTTTAGCAGCGACAAACATACCACCATAGACTACGTGTACGGTGTGTATTTCAGCAGTGATGGAACGAAGCTCGGCGATAAAAGTTTCGACGTAGATATTGACGATAATATAATCATTTGCGGTGTAAAGTACGCGGAAACACCTGGTCTATACGAGTTGATTTTCAAGAGAATTCCCGACGATGCCATTTACACGGAGGCCGATAAACAAAAATACAAAAGTATATTATTGGTAACGAATGCTCATAGGCGCAATCACAACGCGCTATAACTCGTATTGAGTAACAGGGGGTTACAAATACAAAAACATAATCGCACCCCTAATGATTAGTACATCGATCAACATGGGCAGAGGTTTAGCCATACCGCACCATGATACTGAAAGATAATGCGATCGACTATGTTCACTGGGACGATCTCAACGAGCTGGTGAATCGTTTGCGATTGCTGGAAGCCTCCTGAAAAGCTAGCAATAACGCTGACGATAATGAAATTTTACCCATTATCGAGGAACTTCGCGAGACGAACCTTGTTATAAATTAAATCGCACATCAATGATACATGTTGTTTGCATCGAAATGTCGATCGATAAATTTGATGTTTCGCTCCAAAAGAGAGGACCGCCGACGATGGACTATTACACGTGGAGGGGAGTACTCAGAAATTACGTACGCGATAACACTCTGTGCATGGTCACCTCTGATTTTGATACGAGATTGCGCAAGATACGACGCGTAGCGCAACCGAAAGCCGACAGCGACGCGGTCAATAGTTTCCACTCTACGTGGAAAGGGTCTCGCTACATTGAGAGAGAACCAGCAAGAATTTGAAAAGAAACAGAAGGAATTAGGGAAAAACCTGATCAGACTTCATGCTGAAACACGTGTCATGTGGGAGAAAGTGTTTACAGCGCGAAAACGCGTTGAATAGATGGAATTTGAAACGATGCGCTCGCAGTTTCGTCATTCGTGATGAGGCGACCCTAGCGATCAAACATGCGGAAAACTGGTAAAAACGGGAAACAACAGCTCCGAAAAGCAACGATTGGTGGAGGAATTGCATGCTCCTGCGAGAAGGCATTTTCCTCGTAGACGCGTTATTGTGCGCGGATACGATGATCTGTGGCAAGCCGATGTAGTGGAGATACGTCCGTATTCGCGGTTCAACAATGGCTACCACTACATACTCACCGTTATCGATGTGCTGAGCAAGCATGCTTGGGCCATGCCAATAAAGACTAAGAGCGGAGAGAAAGGAGATGGTCGAGGCGTTCGGCAAGATAATTCGGGACAGCGAAAGATGTCCAACAAATTTGCAAGCAGACCAGGGGAAGGAATTTTATAATGCCGATGTGCAGAAACTCGCGAAGAAACACAACATCAATCATTATTTGACGTACTCGGTTATGAAGGCTTCCGTCGTGGAACGATTCAATCGTACGCTGAAGAATGACATGTGGAAAATGTTTACATTACAATGAACCTACAGATGGATCGACTCGCTACCGCGTCTCGTGTCGCAGTACAACGGGCGCAAACATTGAACCATCAGTATGCACCCTATCGATGTGACTCCCACGATCTAAAAAAAACTCTTAAAAACTCTTAAATACTGTCTACAGCAATGTAAAGATTACAGCTCCGGCGAGATTCAAAGTGAGCGACTCGGTACGCGTGAGCAAATTCAAGACTGTCTTTGCTAAAGACTGTCTTTGGCGTTACACGCCAAATTGGACCACCGAAGTGTATAAGGTCATTAAGGTGCAGATGACAAATCC